CACCACCTTTGCTCCATGAGAGCCCAGGCTGTGAGGAATGGCCAAATTCTGTCACTTCAGCCTTATTCTCACACAGGATTAAAATCGCGGTCAGGAACAACTTTCATGGAAAACTAACATCCTGTTGGTTTTGGCACCATTTCTCTTCAACTGGTCAAAAAAGCTGTTCTTGTAGTCAGTTATCACACAGTGCTCATTTCCCGCACACCTCTCAAAGTCTGCTGCTTAAGCATATACTTGACATGCTGCTTAAGCATAAATTTTTACAATTTTAGAAGGCAACACAAAATTAGATTTTCAAAAATCTGTTTTGCTAAAAGAGGCATCATCAAATATAATTCTGATTCAACAGTCCTATGATCAAGATGACTTGACTGCCAAAAACCTTCACGCCCTTCTGTTCCCAGCTCGCTGCCAGTGAGACAGGCATCTGGAGGCCAGTGCTCCTTCAAGGGCTTCCACTCGTTCACTCTAGAACTGGATCAGGGTTCTTCATTTCTCAGGGGCTCCAGCTCTTCAAAGAGATTCTCAGGTTCCAAATGCGGAGGTCTATGAGATGGCTAAGTTCAGTAGTGTGTGAAGGTTCTTAATCTTACATTTTAAACCCTGGTGGTACAGTGGAGGAACACATTCTATCAACTCATAAAATTCTATGAAGTGTTGACATATTCTTAAGAATGGCGATGCACTGTTGAAAGATCAAAGTATGCCTTGCACAACACAAGAACTTTAAAGTCAAAAGCATAAACCAACAAATAAATAAAAACATTGACCATACCTAAAACATAAGTGGACTCTGTAGGTAATAAAGAGGGAAAGAACCACAGGCTAGAAGGACAGAAGGTAATGGAATGCTCCTGGCAGAGAGGGATCCATGTATAACATGAAGGTAAAAATCAACTGAAACTATACAGACTTCCATCTCTGGACTACTGGTTTATCCTAAAAGCACCAAGATTCAGTTAAGCCAAAATCTTCTGGGAAACTCTCAATTCCTGTTTACGCTAAAACAAATGAAGGAGTGGGAGGCAGATAGTGTATTCCTTGTAATAGAAACCCCAGAGAAGGAAAGGACTGGATTGGGAGACACAGAGGCGCATCCAAATTTACACACATATACAAAAATCGCGTCTGATGGGGAAAGGTTAATGAAACACACAAAATCCCAAGGCTGAGAGGAAGTGGAACAAGAACCACAAAAGCCAAGAAGACAGTCAACAATTTAAGAAACTCCAGATGCACTCAGTTTATTAAAACAGAACACGAGATGGGAGAAGGAGTGTGAACATAAGGGGCACTTCACTGGGTCAGAGAAAGGCACTGTTCATTTCACCCCAGAATGTCCTCATGCCACCAAGTCCATGAAATTCAGCTTCCAAAAGACAAAAAGGTAATAAAAAGACACGGAAAAGGAAACATTCAGAAAAGCTTTTGGGACGAACTATTTCTAGAACAAAGATTTTTATACTAAGGGCTCCTAAAATTTTACCCTCACACAGGAGTCAAGTTGATGTTGTTGCTGTTGTCGCCTGCAACTCATAGCAACTCTGTACAACAGCTCTGAACCCTGCCCTGTCCTGAGCAAGTCTCACTAATTCAGACACACCTACCTTCATGGCCCCAGTCACCGTATCAATCCATCTCATCTGGGGTCTTCCTCTCCTGCACTGTCCCTCCACCATTCCAAGTGTGATGTCCTTCTCCAAGGACTGGTCCCTCCTACCAACATGCCCAAATTATGTCAGGCAGAGTTTCAAAATCTTAGTCTCCAAGGAAAAACTTTGTTTCACCCTCTCCAAGACAGACCTATTTGTTTTCTTGAAGGTCCATGGTATGTTCAAGAAACAACTTTATATTTTTTCAAGCTGATGAAGTTTCTGAAATTGGAATTATGTTCCAAGCCTTCTTTCCCCATCAGACCAGATCCTTTAGGAAACCTACTCTCAGGCCACCAAAAGGCATTTAAAACAAATACCATTAGTCCATTCTACAAACACTCCTTGGGAATCCTTTAAGTGCTAAAGATGCTGCCAGGAACTGGAAGGACAGTAATGACAGGGATATTGCCGCTGTCCTCAAAGACATTCCAGGCTAGTGAGGGAGACAGACTCATAAATGGCTACAAGAAAGAACGACGGGTGTTACCACAGAGTTAATAAACGATAAACAGAAAGTGGGGGGCTCTTTGTGTGTGTGCGTCTGTATGAAGTCAGACTGTAAGAGTTTAAAAAAAAATCTACCACACGATACTTGATTTTCACCTTTTAAAAATTTCAGTAACCTGTCAAGTAAAGCAACATGAAAAAGGTATTTCAGACAGACTAGAGCAGGTACAAAGTTGGTTAGGAAGGCCCTACCTGGGTGGTCCCAGGAAATGGTTGGCAGTAATGAAGTGAGAAGGCAAAGGAGGAGGATAAAATGACTAATGACAATTCAAGAAGATACACTCAGAGAGCAGTGGAGAAGTGTGTTCATAAACAAATATCACAATGCAAGAGGTAAACAATACAAAGTAAAAGGAGTAAACAACAGAAAGTAAATGTATAGTGTAGAAGTATAAAGTGAGGGATGAGACACAGCAGGGCACTTTCTCAGGCAAAGCCTCAAAGCCCCAACAGAGTCTTAAAAGATACACAGAAGTTACACATGGACAAGAGGAGCACTTTTCTAGCTGAATTGTAGAACTTTCAAAAAGCCACCAAAGCTTATAAGTGCTCAAAGGTATGTTGTGTCACAACTGAATTATAAGGAGGAGTAACAGAATTCTAGAAAAGTGAGCTGGGGCCAGACCAGCAGAGCCTTGGAGTTCATACCAAGTTCCTCTTATCACTATTAAGCCCAGGAAGGCAGTTAACTCTCAAGGACTTTGGTGCATCTGTCCCAAACATGGTATTTTCAGCTGCTTTGTATGCATATGAAAGCTAGACCATGAACAAAGAAGACTGAAGAAGAACTGGGGCCTTATTGCAGTGTTGGTGAAGAACACGGGATGCACCATGGACTGCCCAAAGAACAAGCAACTCTGTCTTGGAACAAGTACAGCCTGGGTACACCTTGAAAGCAAGAATGGAAGGATGGTAAGATTTCATCTCACATACTTTGAGCATGTTATCAGGATGGGCCAGTCCTTAGAAAGAGATGTCATGCATAGAAAAGCAGAGGGTCAACAAAGGAGAGATGGAGACCCTCAACAAGACGGACAGACAAAGTGAATGAACAATGCGCTTTAGCACAGCAGCGATTGTGAGGACTGCACATCGGGCAAGGTTTCAGCCTGTTGTACACTGGGTCACTATGAGCTGGAATCACTAATGTGCATCTAACAACAAAAAGGAAGTAAACATTGAAACACATACATCTGTTTGAGTTGTGGCTCTGGTTTTTTAGGATATATTCCTAAAACACGGAGTGTGGAACTGCTGGGTCAAATGGTGTGTTTATTTCCAACTTTCTGAGAAAATGCCAGACCACCTTCCACAGTGGCCACATTATTCACAACAGCAAAGAGATGGAAGCAACCCAAGTACCCATCAATAAACAAATGGATAGAAAAACTATGGTACATCCACGCAACGGAATACTATGCAGCACTGAAAAACATTGAAATAGTAAAACATTACCCAACATGGGGGAGGCTTGAGAACACTTTGCTAAGTGAACTCTCTCAGTCACAAAAGGATAAATACTGCATAGCACTGCTGTTCTAAAATAGAACGGACATTAGGGGGTTGGAGAGGGAATGGGCAGATAGATAATGAACATTGTATTGGAACAGATGAGGGGAAAGAACTGTTTGAAAGGAATATGTGATTATGCATTATATGTATAAGAACAGTCTGGAACAAGGGGTGCACTGCAGGGTGGGCTAAGGGAGAGGAAGGAAAGGAAGGGGAGAAAATGTGCAACAATAAATAAATAAAATTTTAAAAATCTATTTAAAAGCTAAAAAAAAAAAAAGGCAGGCTTCCAAAAGCTTTATGAAGCATGACCAAATAGGCATTTTAAAAGTTATCACAGCTCTTTCATTATGTCATTTAATTTGTTTTATCTATCATTTTCTAGCCTTCTGTATAATGCTCAAGCATATGTTAGAACAGTCTACTAAAGAGACATTTACAATATCTAAATATAAAAAAAAAAATCCTACTTTCCATGCACCATCTCATTTCATGTTCTTTACTGTCTTGTCACCCCGCCTCCTACGTAAGCCATAACTCTTGTCTCCTTACTACTTTGATTACTCCATCTTATGCTTTAATTATCCTTCTACAGATGGACCTGCTGTCTTCCTAGCAAGGCTGAAAGCCTGCGTGATGTACAGACATGCACACTGAGAGCACCAAGAGCTCAGGTCTACAGGGAAAGCACACGCACGCAGTCATCTTCACGCCACAGTCACAGCAAGTGGGTCAGCAGGTAAGAGGTGTTCTGACCCGGCAACTGTCAACATCTCGCTCTGCTGAGGGTGAGAGAAGGAGAAGGGGGAGGAATGGACTGTGCTGGGGAGAAAAAAGAGAAGAAGGAACAGAAAGGAGGACGAGCAGGGGGAGGACGAGGAGAAGCAGGAAGAGGAGGAGGGGGAAACCCACCAGAAAGAAGACGGAAACCAAGAGGAGGAGTCATTGGAAAACGGGAGAAAGTACATACTGGTACGAGCCAGAGCTTCTTGGAATAGTTCCCAGTCTGGCTGCCAAAGAGCTCTGGAATATATTTGTTAGAGCTGGATTCTTGCACAGTCCATTGCAGACTTTTTCTGACTGCGCTCTGGTGAGAGACACTCACACTTAAGATCCAGTGCCTGCTTCCCACACAGAAAGCAGGGGAATTCCAACCAAGCTCATAGCACTGGTCTCTTAGTAGGATTGTTACCTGCTATGTGAACCTAGGAAGAAACACAAGTCCACCACTGATCTCCCAGCGGTGCGCTAAAGACTCACTAAGGTTTTCCACCCCACATTTCCAAAACTCTCATCACAGCTTAACCCTCCGCGTCTCCTTACCAAAACAGCTGCTGCGATAAGGAACAAAGGTTTTGCAGGCTGTGGCAATGGCTAGTTCAGCAGAGATGATCGTCTTAATGATCAGGTCTTCGACGTGGGCCATCAATGCTGGGGAGAGAAGAAGGTGAAGATGTATTCAAATGTGTGGATCAGAAGGACTGAATTTCAGGATACAGTGATATTATAAAAGCATGTGTATTTATCTGAAAAAGTCCCCAAGTGGTAAGCTGTCTGATGGGTGCTTCGGAGTCAGGAACACCTGACAAGAGAAAGACAGAGTCAAGAATGTGGATGGCAGGACTGTGAGGCTCTGCTTGAGGAAGCACAGCTGGAGTGGGGTAGGAGCTGTGGCCATCAGTCATGGCAGGACAGGCATTCACAGATTCAACCAAGAGCTACTGGAAAGGAGTGTACCCGAACCATTAACCAAAGGGGGGCATTCTGCTTCCAGAAAACCTCAAGAAGTACTGCAAGCAACTCTGGGAGCTGTTAGATCCAGATCTAAAGGAATGGGTGGAGACACTCAACCAGTTAGTGTGCAAGTTGGAGGAAAAGTTCATCTGCCAGAATACGGAGGCACCAAAGTAGTTCTGGATGACAGAAGATTCTTCCTGCCTTACAGATGCTGACATTCTAGGGAAGAATGCAGACGGAAATAAATCACCACTGAAATGGCATCACATGAAGCCATCCAGTCAGAACTGAAGTCCTGAAATCTTTCATCACGTAAGTTATCCCTTTGTCTCTCTTGTGTAATAAGCTAGTGATACCCAAACTCATACCCACTGCCTCAAAAATGGTTTTACCAAACTGATAAAAACCTTTCCAAATAATAACTTGTAAGCTAATAGTTAAAAGCAACTCTGGGTGATAGGGGGTACACTTAGGTGATCTCTTCTGAGAAAAAGCAGACATTAAATGGAAAAGGAGGCTGACCTCCTTTCTCCCTTCCTTATTATCTTGAGCTCTGTTTTCCATGCTGCTCAAGGATCAGCAAGCAAACTCTGGGGGCTTAATGGTAAGAAGTAGCAGTACAAACCTAAAGGCACAAAGTTCAAATCCACCAGTTGTTCCACAGAAGAAAGATGGGTACTCCCCTCCCAGGCAACTAACCACCTCAGAAAACCCACTGGAGGGTCAGCTATGGGTCAGTTTCAATTCAACAGCACACAACAAACAACAAGGCTCAGCAAGTGTGTCCCCTTTGTCCCAGGTCCTCTACTCCTAAACTACACTGTGCTTATTTTCCAGTTTAACAACTTGAATGAGAGACACTGGCACGTGCACACACATGAACTTCAACCCAGTGGAACCATTTGGTGCGTAAGATGTTTCAGTCAGCAAGTCAACAGTGAAGAAGAATCACAGGACAAGGTGACGCCTTCCAAACAAGAAACAAAGATCTCCCAGGGTCAGTGAAAGCTGGTTTCCCTTCTTAGAAACAGTAAGGAAAAGTAACAAAATCTCAAGCATCGTTACCAGAGTTAGAGAGGTGGGCCCCAGCAAGAGACAAAGGTACACTGAAAAGACAAGTGGAAAGAGAAGAAGGTCTGGTACTCACCAGTCGTATCTCTGCCTTCTTGTTTTAGGTACCTAAGCATGGCGCTCATGCTCCATTTGTTCCCATAATCCTCCACTTCAGGGTCATCGCAACTAAAACAAATTCATGGATCAAAGTCGTGCATGGGCTAGGCCTGGCTTTAGAAATAACAATAATTGCAAATAGATACCTTCTCTTTTTAAGTTTTCAGAAAGAAAAAAAAATATTCCCGTGACTGACTTTCACCCGTCCATTTTCTCTTGGTCCTTTTTGTCATGTATGGAAAGGAAAATGCATTGAGCCTGCCTTACTGAGGGAGGGTGGAAAAGGGAAATTCTTCCTTAGCCAAACAACTGAGCATCATGGAAGAAAGGGAAGAAACAAGTGAAAGAATGTGAGCAGATGCTGAAGGACTCCAAGAAATGAACAGGCTGAAATGTTTAGGAGTACCAACCTAGCCTAGCAAGTGAATGTCAGTCACACTGAGGCCACAAAACAAACTCTGATGATGTTTCCAGATTAGAACAGAGTCTGGAGGGGCTAATGCAGTGTAACATTTTACTGAGCTAACTCAGCATGGAGCTGCTTTAGTCCCTCAAGCAAGCTCCATTTTTCTGGTAGTGGGCAAGGTCACGCTGGAGATCTTAGGTGTCAATGAAGGGAGAAAGCACTAGAGCAACGACAAATGTGAGGAAGTGTTCCAGTGTGATAGCAGTGGGATGGAGACCAGGCAGACACCCACAGACGCTGAAGAGTTTCACACTCGACAACCTGTGTTTTGCAACTGCCTCCTCGTTCCTCATCACTCCCCTGTGTCCCACCCCCTCCACCTCCACCCAGCTTGCAAAGTGAAGAACATGGATCTGTAGCCATTGGTCACAGGACACTCAAGGAACTCTATCTACCTTTGGCAACTATTTATTCCATCACTTCCAGATTCCTTCTTTCCTTTCCTTGGACCTGCTAAGGACCTATTTTTAGTCCGAGTAGAAAGTAACTGTTTGGGTTTCTTTTTCTTTTTCCACTTTCTGGCTAAATTGTTGGGATGAAAGAAAACAGAGCTGAAAGAAAACATTTCCACGCAGCTGGGCTGGTGCGCTGCTCCACTGAATCCTTTTCCGAGATGGCCTCAGTCCTCTTTCTTTTTTTTTCCCCTAACAACTTCTTTTTCCTCAATCACACAAATGTTTCAGACAATTTCGAGGAGAGGGGAAAGTGCAGAGAAGAAACAGAAAGCTTACTCATAATTCCTCTCACCACCCTTGAGCACTGTGTGTATGTTGTCATGTATACCCTTCTGCTTTGGGGTTTGTTCTTGGTTTTTTTTCTCCCAGCAGAAATAAAGGACTTCAGCTATCTTATAAGGAACACTGATGGTTAACTCGCTAATCAAAAGGTTGGTGGTCAGCAGTTTCACAGGAGAAATACCTGCTAATCTGCTTCTCTGAAGACTGTTGTTTCTGACTGCCGTGGAGTTGAGCACAACTCACAGCAACTCAATGAACAAAAGGCCGGAAGTCCCTCTACAAGCTAGAAAACCCTTTGGAGTGGTTCTACTCTGTCACATGGGGCTGTGACCCATCAAAAACCAATCTGACAGCAGCACTTAACAATGACATATACTCAAAGGGAAAATTAATTTGCATGCACTATTATTTGGCAACCAGCCTGCTCCACCAAACCCTGTGTCGTATTAAGCACTTATCTCGACTCCTTTGCAAACATCCTTATTTCTGAAGTTGAGTTCCTAGAAGTGGAACTGTTGGGTGAAAGGATGCAAAAATTTGCCAAGTGCTGAAATGACTTCATTTCTTGACTGCTAAAAAGTTCCATAAGCTTATAAAATTCCCATTCCTAAACCAAGTCCAGGAAGATGATGAGAATGACAAAACTGGTACAAAGTCTACATGGGAGCCGAGAGGTGATACTGCAACTGGGCAGCCAGTGATGAGGCAACAGCAGCTATTTCCCAAAACCATGGGAAATGCCTCCAACAGCGGCTTCCCATCAGTTACAGGGAGATGGGGGAGTTACCCTCCCTTGCAAAGACTGGCTTTCCAGTTCTACAAGGGCCTCCACTGCAGACTAACTGTTCCACCCTCTGGCTGAGACACGCCTGTACCTGACATAGTCTCCACTCTTCTTATTCACACTGTAGTTGGTCAGGTGCATGAACTGGTTCCGAATGTTCTTGGCTCCTTGATCATATCGCACAGTGGCAAATCTGAGGAAAGGACAACAGGTTAAGTGCCAGGAGCAAGGGCGCGGGGGAGTGTGGGCTAGAAGGAAGGATCGATGAGGTGACTATAAACAGAGGGTGACATCATCATGCAGCAAATGTGGAATGCCTACAAAGTGCTAACTACAATGCTAAGCGTTTTTAACATGTATATTATCACATTTAATTCAATCCTTAAAACAACCCCACAAAGTAGGTAATATTATGTCTCATTTTTAAAACAGACGTGAAAACTAAAATGTAATCTAAGAAACCTGCAACAAATCACACAGATTCCAAAGCCTGTGTTCTAAATTACTCTAAGAGATGCTGCTTCTCTTGTACAATACGTGAGGCCAGGTTTCAATTAAGAACAAACAATGAAAACAGTATTAGCCACAAACTAGGAAATGGTGGGCAGAATGGTGTGAAGTGAATGAAGCAAAGAAATAAACACAGAGCATGATAAAAAATCACTAAGCAAAAATTTAAAAAGGACAGCATAACATTCTATGGCCCACACTTCACATCCACAGGGAGCTCTGACTAGACCTGTACCAATAACTCAAAGGTTGAGCCTCCCCAGCAGTTTCAATCTACCAGCTGTTTCGAGGGAGAAAGATGGACAATCTTTTCCTGTGCAATTTACACTCTCAGAAACACGTAAGAGAATCAGCTCTGAGTCAGGTTCAACTTGACAACAACAAGTACATATCACCGAAAGAATAAAATTGACCTATAATATGATTAAAGGATACGTCATCTTGAAAATGACACTTATGATAGTAGTAGACGTTTGGAGCTCTGGTGGCTTAGTGGTAAGGAGTTGTTCTGCCAACCCAAAGGTGCACTGTTTGAATCCACCAGGTTGCTCTGCAGGAGGAAGGTGGGCACCCTTCTCCTGTGCAATTTACTGCCCCTGAAAACCCACTGGAGGGCCAGCTCTTGCTCAGTTCTGACTCAACGGTGCATTACAAGCAGCAGACAAAGTTGAGATCTGCAGAAGAGTGTTAATTTGAGCACAAATTTGTGTAAAAGACTAATCCTCAAGTTTGGAATGAAGGCAAACACAGAAGGAAGAAACACGGAATACACAGAAAAGAGGAAAGCAATCTGATATTCTGGGCCACTGTCAAAAGAAGACCAAAATATAAAATATCTGTAACTCTGAGATTCTTCTGAAGGAAGTAACCAGAGAAGGGGAAAACTTTCCAGGGATGCTCAACATCAACAAAAGGCCATTCAAACCAAACGGTTATGGTAAACATCAACTTCTGTTTACATACCACTATAACCATATCACCCTCCACTAAAGTGCCTTTCCCAAGAGGCACCATCCAAGTGTGTGAAAAAAAAAACTGGAAGGCCACAAGTTTATTTTCATATGTTTTACAAATTATTTACATATGCTTACCCAGTCTCTGGAGTCAACATGATTTTTTTACCACATTAAAGGTCAGCATTCAGAAATTCTCCTCTTCTCAATTTCTTCTCACCCACCCACTATCTCCACTCTCTAGTTCTCTGTACCAGAAATTTACAAGATCCAAAGAAAGAAAACTGGAAGAAATAGGGGGGGAAAGACCCAAAATCAAATAAACAAACATGAGGCCAGGAAAAGGGATGTGGACAAAGGGAAAATGCTGACCCGGCTTGGGTGGTTCAGAACAAGAATCTGATGAACATTACACAACTACTTCCCAGAGTTATCACGTAACACGGATCCACGTCATTCTGGGTTCTATATGCCTTACTTACAGTCCCCCTATCTTCTTCCCCCAGACTCTCCCAAGAAGTCAAAGACAATCATTCTCTGAATTCTTGTGACATGCAAAGGGGGCCCACGCAGGACCCACCTCACCCAGACATTACCTCACGGTGACATACTTCCCGCCATCCTCTCCCAAAAAGAATAATGAGTTAGAGGGAGGGAAAAGGTTCTGCTTCAGAGAAAACAGTTTTCACGCTACCTGATCTAATTCCATCAACAACATCAAACAGACTGGCAAAAGCCTAGTGGCTTACTACACTCTGGTACCCAGCACATCTGTCATTCTTACAACTCATTTGTTCCTTACCCACTACTCAAAGCAGCTGCATACCTACAACACAAGTTTATTCTCCTTACTCTTCTTTCTCACTAAGGTGCTGACATCCAGAACGCCAGCAAAGACAAGAGTATTAGTGTCATAATAGCTTCTACAGAGGTATAGGAAACAGACACAAAAATTAAAGAAAAATAAACAAAAGCAGTTTATTCCCATTCTTCTCAGTCAGCTACAGTTTGTTATGATCCACACAGTCAAACGCCTTTGCATAATCAATGAAACACAGATACACATTCCTCTGGTATTCCCTGCTTTCAGCTAAGATCCATCTAACATTAGCTACAATATCCCTAGTACCACGACCCCTTCTAAACCCAGGTTGGACTTCTGGCAGTTCTCTGCTGATGTGCTGTTCCAGTCATTTTGGGATAATCTTCAGCAGAATCTTCCTTACACGTGAAATCAATGATATTGTTCTATGGTTTCCACACTTTGTTGGGTCACCCTTCTTTGGAATGGGAACAAATAGAGATCTCTTCCAGTCAGCTGGCCAAGTGGTTGTTCTCCAGATTTCTTGGCACAACTTGATGAGCACATCCAGGGCAGCATCTGTTAGCTGAAATATGTCATCTGGTATACCATCTATTGGCGTTTGACTGTAGATATAACAAACTGTGGCTGACTCTGAGAAGAATGGAATCCCAGAATACTTGATCGTGCTAATGCGAAATCTATACTTGGACCAAGAAGCAGTCATCAGAACAGAGCAAGGAAACACCGCATGGTTCAAAATTGGGAAGGGCGTACGCCAGGGATGCATCCTATCTCCATACCTTTTCAACCTGTATGCGGAACAGATTATCCGGGAGGCTGCGCTCTATTAGGAGAAATGTGGGGTCAAGATTGGTGGAAGATCTATCAACAATCTGCATTATGCAGATGACACAACCCTGCTTGCTGAAACTGAGGAGGACCTGAAGCACTTGCTGCAGAGGGTCAAGGACTGCAGCCTCCAATATGGATTGAGGCTCAATGTCAAGAAGACAAAAATTCTCACCACTGGACCAATTGGCAGCATCAGGATGGATGGTGAAGAGATTGAGATTGTTCACAGCTTTAGTTTGCTTGGCTCCACAGTCAACACTCTTGGTACCAGGAGTCAGGAAATTAAAAGATGTATTGTGATGGGAAAGTCTGCTGTTAGGGACCTCTCCAAAGTACTGAAGAGCAATGGTGTCTCTCTGGAGACTAAGGTGCATCTGATACAGGTCATGGTCTTCACAATCACTTGTTATGCATCAGAGAGTTGGACAGTGACTAAGGAGGATAGAAGGAGAATTGATGCCTTTGAGCTGTGGTGCTGGAGAAGAGTACTGAAGGTACCAAGGACTGCTAGGAAAACAAACAGATTCATCCTGGAGAGGGTTAAACTGGGCGGCCCCTTGGAGGCAAGGATTCTGAGGCTTCATCTAACATACTTTTGACATGTTGTAAGGAAGGACTGGTCCTTGGAGAGGGACATCAAGCTTGGGAGGGTGGAGGGACAGCACAGGAGAGGAAGACCCTCTATGAGGTGGATTGATTCAGTGACTGTGGTAATCGGATGGGTGTATCGGAGACAGTGCAATTGGCACTGGACAGAGCAGAGTTTAGGGCTGTTATATACAGGGTTGCTATAAGTTGCAAGCAACTTGATGACACATAACAACAACAATAACAACTCTTATATTACACTATACTCTTCAGTTCACTTAGTCCTATTAGGAGAAGACCTCTTAGAGGAAAGGTCAATCTTTCTCCCAAATCCAGGAAGGTCCAATGGTTCTCACCAAAACCTCTACTGAACAGCCCACATTCATCATGTGATCACCACTTTCCACCTCTTGCTTCTTACTGTCTAGACAAGAGGTCCCACAAGATTCAGATCGAGCTAACCAGTGAGTAATTCACAAAGATGTTTGGGGTTTGTTTTTAATTTTGTTTTGATTTCAACTCGAATTTCTTGGCTATCATTTAAAAAGCAGATTTTCCTTCTAGAGGCCAGGACTCATGTGAGAAAGGTGGGGAATGGGGCGAAAAAGCAGCCCAGAGACAGTTGGGGCCTGGGGAGGTATCCAAGCAGGGTAGCAGCTCCCTCCAAGGGTCAAAGTCAACACACAGGAGGGGCACTTGAATGGGGCAGTGGCCTAGGGGCATCAGGGGACTGGCTACATAGTAGAGGATTTAGGAAATAAAAAAAGCAAACATGCTAAAGAGAACGGGAGCCAGATTCCTCCCTACTGGGGAAGAGAAATCTATAGAAAGGGAAAAATCTAAGATTGAAGCCTGTTAGTTTTGAGCTGGTGTTGGAAGTACTTGCATGAACTGCTGCTTTTCAATAGACAAATAAAACAAATAAAAATATTTATCTGGACATGGATGTGCACATACACATACATGTGCTTCTAGTTCGGCCCCTTGCAAGGACCTGAAGACTAAAGTTTCCCAGCCACAATGAGCATTACCAAAATCCGCATCTTGATTTCTAAACGTCATTTTCCATGAAAAGCAACCAGTGCTCTTTGGAGAGAAAGAACAACAGGAGCCTGAAACATCCGGTGCCAGAAGATAAGTTCTCCAAGAATGATAAGGGCATTCAAAAGAACACAAGAGTCATCGTGAACGGGCTGCCGTTGTTCATATCTGGAACAAAGACGATGTGAGCATCAAGAAACAAATCATGACAGTAAAGTGTCACAACCCATTAAATAAATTGGGAATCCTTGTGCCTATGGTGAGATAAACAGATGATTAAACAAATAGGAAGGGGAGAAGACTCTTCTTTAAATGGCAAATAATCAAAGAGAATAATGCTAAAATCAGAAAACTATCATTTGGCAACCATTACAGTAATGATTCATTCAGGCAAGAACCATCAGTGATACTAATGGGTGAAACTGAGATGCACAGCAAGATTTT